AATGGTATAAAACAAGTTCAATAATTATACACAAATTTACACAGGCAATAATTACATTAACAATGTCTAGTCCATTAGTAATTGACAAATTTAGAGGAAATACTCCATTATCTATCCTATCCTGGTGTGTCCAAGGTGTTGTAGTTAATTCATTTCTGTCCTAACTATTACCAACCCAAAGCTGCCTCTTTATGCCTCTCAACCTTATACATTTTACATTTCTTTTGTGAGTCTTTGCTAAATTTGTTAACAAGGAAAACTATCACTATCTAGTCTTCAATTTCCTAAGAGTCCTGAGAAGTAAATAGTATTACCTAAGAAAGCAGTAAGTGCAACTTCCAAAAAAAAACCCTGAAAAATGACAGAAATAGATTGCTGTCTGGGCAGTCACCAACATTCGTCTGTAACACTGGGGCATCCATCTTTGGCCTACAGGCCTAGAATATCTGACAGACTTTTCTATGAAGCAGCAGTTTTGAAGGACTTCCACCTTGTCTTGGCAAGGTTCAGCAGTCACTTTCTTTTTGTCCTGCTTGTCCAATTTGGACAGCAGACTGTCAGTAGTCAAGGCAAGGGCACTTTCTTGCCCAGGGGCTATTTTTTGCCACAAAGAAAGCAAACTCCATATGGACTTTCTTCGATGTCCATCATCTTCTCTAAAGTGGATTGGTGCTGCCAGGAGCAGACATATCTCATGTTCATAAAAAAGAACCAAGTTATTAAAACATCTTAAATGTCATATTCCATAAATATCTGAAATGTTTGAAAGCTACCTGTTTTTCTAAATTATACCTCTGACCTTGTAAACATACCTAACATGACAAGTTTAATTGTAATAGTTGACTATTAACCTGAATTTCTTTTTTTACCCTAGTTTGCAATAATAACATTCAATAACTAGAAATTTGTATTACATTGTTAAATGAGCTAGGTACAATACCTTGGAACAAAAGTAGAAATATATAGCAAGTATGTTATAACAAAAATTATATCAATATACAAAAATCCAATGTAAGATATTTAAGACTATTACTTCCTGTTTTGCTTTAAAAGTAGATTCAATAATCTACCTTTTATCCTATCATGTCTATAACATATATACAGTATAACAAAAATAACCTTAATTTTGTATCACCATACAAAAATCCAAGCCAATGTAAAAAATATTTAAAACTAGTAGTTCCTTTTTTTGGTTTAAAAGTAGATTCAATAATCTACCCTTTTATCCTATTTCTATATCTGCATTTCCTTTTTAGAATGAGATCCCTGAATCTAGTCTTTTCTCAGCTTTTTCCTTGACCATTACCAACATGTAAACCATGACAAACATCTATAACACACTGAGCAACCAAAACCATCCACCCACCTCTTGGGAAGGAGGGCACTGTGTTCTTAAAATTACTTCCTGCTGTTTGGGGATGATGGCATCTTTAGGGAACCCTGAAAACAAACAGGGTTAATTATCAAGTCCTGGAGAACTAGCTGTATCATTTGTCGTCCAATCTCTGTGTAATGGAAAACTTCAAGGCTTGTCTCAGTCCTGGCTACAGTAGTCTATGAGGCTGAACCATCTCAGCTTGAAATTGTCTTGAGTAAATTGTAGTCCAAAGGTGATCTTTGGGTGTTCATGTGTCAGCTCAGTGGCATTATCATAGTCCTGGTGTAATCATGGTTATGGGGTACCATCCTCCTTCTAGGGACTCAGAGCTCACTGTTAGGCATGGTCATGGTTCACTGTAGAAAACTTAAAACATTTCAGATGTCACATGCAGCAGATCTCAAAGAAGTTAAAGGATCAATATTTGTTATGTACATCTGGAGTAAAAAAATTTAAATCCTAGTTACCTGCTAGAGACTCAATTTTTTTCTCTTTTTAGGGTGATTGCTGAAATATCAGAGAAGCAGATGAGCCAGCCATTAGAGAAACTTCTTACCTCTAGAAATCTCAGACAAAAAAGGGCTGAGCTACTGTGTATACCCCACATTATCACTTCTACTCTCTGCCCAACCATATCACTTCCTGTCTCCTGAATGTACAGACCTCCAGACCTCTATGGTTAACTAATGGCTAGCACCAACTGCTGATCTTCTGGCAAGTGTTATTTGTCAGAACATAAACAAACTACTAAAACACCAGGCCTAAACCATTCTAGGAGGCCTACCTCAACCACCCCAGGCCTTGACCACTCAGGCAGCCTTTCCTCAACCAACCCAGGCCTTAATAACTCAAGCAGGCCTATTTCAACAAACCAGGCCTTAACCATTCTAGGAGACATCCCTCAACCACCCCGGGCCTTGACCACTCAGGGCGCCTTACTTCAACCAAACTAGGCATTAATCACTCAAGCAGGCCAACCTCAACCATCCCAGGTCTTGACCACTTAGGCAGCCCTACCTCAACCAACCCAGGCCTTAATCATTCAAGCAGGCCTATGTCAACCACTCCAGGCCTTAACCGTTCTAGGAGGCCTCCCTCAACCATCCCAGATCTTCACCACCCAAGCAGGCCCATGCCAACCACCCCAGGCTTTGACCACTCAAGAAGGCCTAACTCAAGCCTTTCCTGGTACCAGGTTGCTGCCAAAACCTGATGCCACTCCAGCTCATCTCATGATGAATCCTTGCAAGAGCATCTTTCTCTCAGCCTCCAAGATGCCTCGTTCTAGACAGGCCCCACATCCAGGCAGATGGAGGCTGGGGCACCCTCTTTCATCAACCCTGATATCCAGGACATGCTGGAATTTCAGCTCAGCAAAAGAGTAGAACTAAATGTTTGGAAGGGGAAAGGAAAAGAATCATCTGACCATGCCTGGGCCACATGGGCAATATCCTGCTGTCCTGGAGCAGCAAGTAGACCGCTACCACATCATGGCCCTTCTGGAACAGAAACTGCAAATCAGGGCAGTTTTTAGGACATTAGCAGTTCTTCTGCCAGAAGGTCTCAGGGAGAAATTTATATCAGAAATGTAGCCAGTTTTTCTGGGGCCTCACTTTCTCCACAGTGAGTCCCAATGCCTACTGTCAACATGGCACGAGCTCTCTACTTACATCCCGGTACAACTTCAGACTAATATACCTCCACAGCTCTTTCCTACAAAGGCCTTGATTCATCACTTGGTCAAATGCCAACCTTTGACTCAGAAGCTGTCCTGGACCTGAGCTCCACCAGTGGCTGCCATCCAAACCAGGCCCCAGCCCCATACTCTCTCCAGAAACTACCAAGCCATTCACCTCCAATTAGGGATGATGGGGCTTCTTGTCCTAAAGATTCATGATCCCAATTTATTGTCCCACCTGCTGTTAGACACCTAGAGTGCCACCTTTTGAAGAAGCACCTAGAAAGTAAGACTGATTTATCAAACATGGTTAAAAAGTAACATATACTGTTTGATCAACTAACTTCCAAGAGCTGGGTACCCCATAGACTGTAGACTGTTGTCTGCTGCCCAGGGGACCTTTTTAACCCCGAGCTCTGAGAGCAGATGGAAGGACACTTAAAAACGAGATTCACACAACACCAGGACTAATGGGCCTACAAGGTCCAGCTCAGAACAAACTCCCAGGGATGGGTCAGGCAGAAGTTACTCACTGACTCCATGTCCCTCAGCACTGTTAGATGAAAGCAGCAAGCAAGCAGAGTGTCTCATCAAAGGGTCCAGAGATGGAGAGACCCACGCATGGTTCTGACAAAGTGGGAAGAGCTCTGAACGATTTATATGGGAGCCCAGAAGTTGTGCTAGGCAAAGTTCTCAAGGCTAGCTCTGAGACAGGGATGCAAACTTGCCACATGAGACACCCAAGAAGTGACATGACTCATGAAGTGTTTCCCCGGTGGGACCATGAAAGAAGCAGCTAGAAGACACCCTTAAAAAAACACTCAAGAAGCAAGTGGAAGCATACCGATGACAGTAAGGTTGTCAGTGGCATTTTCTTTTCACGGAATACAAATGGACCATACTTTGCTGCACACTAAAAACTCAGACAAATATGGAAACTTGGAAAAAAAAATCCTTGAATGAGTCAACCACCTGCAAGAAAACTTGTAAAGGGTATCCTTCCTTCCTGGATCCCACCACTCAGAAGGTGCTGGAAACACATCTTACAAGACACCTGGTGAGGCTCACATGGAGCCTTCCCCTCAGAAGCCTCAAGACCATGCTTTCAACATGAACAAGGCTATAGCTTGGCCCTTTCCACGGCACTCCTCTTTGTCCTCCTGAGAGTCAAGAAATGACTCCATTGACAAAATGACCAGTGTCCTGGGAGAAGCTTTTCAGAAAGCCCCAGAGGAGAAAATGATGAAAATAACCACCACTGTGGAATCTCTTTCCATACAGATCCCTCTTTCTGCCCTCCAGCTCAAATTCCTGAGAAAGGCTCCATGTAGTGACAACTCTGGACCCTCTGAGGCACCTATGACTGTTGAGGAGGACAATATAACTTCTGTGTCCACCCTACAGAGTCTCCTGGGCAGAGCCCAGGACCTTGGACAGACAACCCAGAGCCAAATCCAGGCCTAGTCAAGTGTGTGTGAGTCACAGGAGAGTAAGGTGTGGCTTTTAGAGATATCTACCATGAAGTGTCAGTTCGGGAGATCAGTGTGGCATCCTAGCCACCCAGCAGCAGGGATATGAGGGAGCTGGGTGAGGCAGAGGAGGAAGAGTCCTGTGACTGGACAATCACCATGGAAGCTGGGGAGATGGCAAAATCTCCAACCAACACTGGACATTGCCTGCTAGAATCATTTCCCAGGATCCAGAAGACTCGGGCCCGAGCACATCTCACTGCTCAGCCCTGGTGTTGTCTTGCAGGACTGTGCCACTGGAACACTCTTTGAAGACTGTGACCCCAGGGTCTGCTTCTTACAGATCCCCTGGCCTCCAGGGCCTCCCAGTCCAGCTTAGAGACTGTGTCTGCTTTAAGCCAAGTCAACCTCCCATGACAGGTAGAAAAAAGGAAAGCACCCAAAGCTCCCAAAGCCAGGGCCTGTGTTTTAGCCATATCTTTTGGCCAAGTGACAAAAAAAAAAAAAATTATAGAACTTTGAGGCAGGACAAATGGCTTTGAGGGACATTGCCTGTCCTACAATTCAAACACTAAGGAATGTAATTCTTCTCCAATTACAGAGAAGAAGGTTGAAGACAGAAAAAAAAGTTTATGGTGTATATTTTGACCTCCAAAGGTAAAGTGCAGGAAATTCCCCAGAACAAGTCAAGGCCTTATCTGGCACAACCCAAAGTCGAGGGTCAGGCCGGAGCAGGTTATTAATGCCCCGACAGGTCACTGAAGCACAGGACCTCATGACTTCTCTTGGATTGATTCTAGAGGAGCAATTGGGGATTTACCATAGGTGTGCTCCTTCGAAGAAAAGTGCGCACCAAGATGCACCCCAAGCTCCAGTGAGTAGGCATGTCCGCCATCATAGACTTCCTACTACACAAGCAAAAATAGCCCAAGGAAACACTGGCTGTTCATCAAGCCAACCCCATGGTACACAGCCAACATTCCACAGACAAATAGATGCCCTATGCTAACAACTGGGCCCAGGTGTCCAGAGAACCTGTGTCCTCAGTCAGCCCCCATCACACAGGGCACAAATACCAAGTGTCCCAGGGACCCCTGTCCACTGCTCCAGGCACTGCCACTGCAGAAGTATACTATCTGGAAAAGCAAATGATTTTCCAAATTTCTGCATTTAAAATTCATCCCTTTTGAAAATAAACTCTCCCCTACGCAGAAGAACATGGTCTCTGAGGGCTAATGTCTCTAAGCTAGACATTACTTCCTGTGGAATAGCACTGCAAAGATGACCTGCAGATAAAACATACGAAGAGAAATGCCCACATCTGTTCCACCTTAGTACTGATACGAGGGGATATAACTCCACACAGAGGGGACAGTGGCATTTGAGGACTCACCACCTCGTAGTTCCATCATTGTAATTACTGTTAATTACACTGTAATTACGACAACAAAAGTCTTTAGGAATTTTTGGTGGGTGCTAAGTCAACCCTGTAAGGCGCCATCCTAAGGGCCAGCTCATGTAGTCTCCGATGATCTATCCTGAACTTTGTGTAGCTGTGTACAGAGGTACCAGCTTGCAATGTCTTCACAAGTCACAGGGTAGGCACAGTGATGATGACAGTTGTGTGGCATCCTTGAGTTCAAATGAGGGGAATCTTGACCTCTGTATATCCTGGACCTAGGGATCCTTGGAAGCCCATATTCACCTCAATGGAGGCTGCCAGCATGCTGAGTTCTCCAGGCCCTCCCAGCTCAGTCAGGAGGGCAAAGCAGTATTACCCTGTCCTATGTCTGCCTTCAATGCCAGAACGGTGGTCAGCATGACACTGTCAACTTTCCAGGAGGGCAGCAGCTACAGAGACCCCTGGTCATTTGCCATTCCTTCTGGTCCACTGGATATACAGGACCCATCTGACTGTGGGCAGGGTAAGTCTAAGGAGGGAGGTTAAGAATAAAAAGATTAGAGCCAAGGCAGGAGGCCATGTAACATAAGGATGCCCTAAAAGTTTCCATACATGTGAATCCCCTGCCCTTCTGGTACAGACTGTGGCTGTTGGGGTCTGATTTATTATTCACCTTGCCCTCACCCCAGGCTGTCCACCTTGGACTTTAGCTTTGAACCACTTGAAACAAATCCTGCAGTGATGGAAGGTTAGCTCCTTGCAGCACAACTAATAATCTGTTTATTTATTTACCTTCGGAATTCTAGAGATGAGATGGTGCAAAGGCCAGAAATTAGGCATTCTGAAATTCACTCACAGCCTGGTGGTCATTGCACAAAACTGTTGTTCCAGCTTTACTCCCAAGTGGGAGGACACCTGAAAAGGGTTGAGGGATATACTGTGGCCACACAGAAAGTCACTCTAGGCCTCTAGAACTTGCCTATCCATGAGACCAGCAGAACAGGCCACCTCACAGGGCTGGTTCACACAAGTGGCACTTGTCCAAAGAGCAGGTGCTCTTTGGATCTCTGGGCAGGCCCAAAAGTGTCCCTTAATGAATCTCACTCAGCTTCCTCCCCAGGTCTCCTGGCCCTAGTCTCTGTTCTCTTAGTACACAAGTGTGGGTAACCCCAAACAAGAGCAACCAATTCCCAGGGTGCCCTGCAACTTCCTAGAAGGTAGACAGTAAACGTAAACAGCTCCAGCAGCATTACTTACTCCTTGGTAGAAAACTTTGTTCCAGGAGGTCCCACCAAGGTAGAGTGCATGGACATGGGGCCTGTTCCAGCCCACTTCCCGAGACTCCACAGTGATACTCAGCTGCTCTTTAGGAGTAGATATAGAACCCACAGACCTCTTATGAGGTGGACGTATTTCAATGACAGCAGCCTCTAGAGTAGTTCCAGAGTGAAGCCAGGACGCTGAGGCTGGCACTACTGGGTCCTCTCAGGGACCCAAAAGGCACATTTGTGTTCATCAAAGACTTTGATGTGGATCCCAGGAGTCCTCTGGGTACAAATGCTAGAGACTGTGTGCCAACCTACCAGGCAATAGCAAGAATGGGCTGGCCACTGTTCGCCCTGTCAACTATAAAAGATATGTCATGGGCCTACAGTAATTCTCCCTGATAGACACCTAAAGAGATCTCTGCAGAGTTCCTGATACAGTTCCACACTGAGAAACATCCCAGAATTCCAGAAACAACTCACAGAGAGCTTCATGGATCAAAACACAAAGATCCCCAACCATCTCCATTGAGACTTCCCTAGTGGACCCCACAGAAGGAGGTTACTACAGAGTCCATGACAGAAATCCACAGAGAGAAACCCCCAAAATCTTTTCCAGAGATCCAACCAGACACTTTTCCAGGCTTCCCCAATGCACACACCACACGTGATTTTCATCTCCTTGATAGAAATCCACGTTGACCTAGATTTCCAGAGACATTAACAGACCCAGCCACACATTCACACAGATGTCTACAAACATTTGCAGACAAGCTTATAGTGGAGACAGTAGTGACTCCTAAGATTCTGTGCAGGATCTAGGAGAAATCCACAGAGAACCTTAAGTTGCTTCCAGGGAGATTGACACTGACATCTACATACAAACCCCCAGAAGTACACCCAGCGCTCCACAGGCTTCAACACAGAAATGCCTCCCCCAACACAGTCCTCTAAGAAAACTCTCACAGAGAGACATCACCCACACACTTTCAGAAACACACAGATTACCCCCACAGAGATCTGTACTGAATCCTTGACAAAGACCCCCAAAGAGACTTCTGAATGTTTATAGTTCTTACAACATACAAAAGTAACAAATTTCAGCATCTGCACAGAGATTTCAAACAGATTTTTTATAGAGAGACTAAGGGAGACCTCAGAGACTTCTCAGAGCCCTAAGATGTAGATCTCACTTGGTGGTCTCAGGGTTCCACACAGCAGCCCCTCACAGTGATATCACTCAGACTTCCAGACCTCACACAGCTCCTTCAGTCTTCCCTCACCCTCAAAGACCTCTCAGGACACAGGGAGACCATGCCAACCCACAGAGACCTCACACCATCCCTTGGAGTTCCACACAGAACATCTAGAGGTCTCATGTAGACATACATGGAAAGACTACCACAAAAGTCACACACAGTCACCAGGGGAGATGGCAGGGAGATGGCAGCAGGACCTCATCAGCACTATGTGAAAGGTTTCAGATGTGGACTCTAAAGGGACAGTGACATGTGTTGTTTGTGGTATGGAGTATTGGAATACATCATGCCTTGGGCAGGCAAGGTAGGCAGACAATAGTCTGATAGAGTTAAGGGTTTGCACCAGAGATAAGACCATGGTGTTGGGGGAGGGTACTGAGGAGAGGGTTCCTATGCAGACCGAGGGGCCTACTCTTACTCTTTTTTGAGTATGACAGAGGTTTCACAATACAAGCCTGCAGCCAGGCTGATTTCCTGGCAGGAGGCAGGGAAAGGGGCACGGAGCAGGACGTGTGTCCATCAATACACCTGTGCTGCAAACTCACTTCTTGGGTGAGAAACCCTGGCACGTGGACTCTGTTAGTTGGATATTCAGACTGTAAGAGTTCTTCTCACGACCTGGGGGAGAGGAAGGGATGCTGGGGCTCCTGGGGCCTGAGCAGCAGTTGAATTCTTATGTCATGTTCTTAACTCACAAAAAACCCTCACAGATTTTACATGTTTTCCTGACCTGTCCACCCAGAAGATGAAGAAACTTACCCAGCTACAGAGTTCTTGCATGGAAATGTCAGAGAGAGATCTGTCACAGCACCCCAACCTTACAGTAACTCTCAGTCACCCAAATATGTCTCTGTCTACAGAAACAGTGCAGAGATCTCATGGAGACCTGACACTGCTCCAGGGTCACCCCCCACACACACACAAGCACACACACGTGCTCACACACACACACACACACACACACACACACACACACACACAAGCCCTCCAGACAGACACCCCTGAGTTCCCATAGACCTTTCCCCAAGAGGCTTGCATCACCAGAGGGACCCTGACCTAAAAGCCCAATACAATCAGATACGGCCACCAAACTGGGTTCTCTCCCAGGGTAAAGCATGGGAATTTAGTTTCCTCCTGTAATTCCAAGGCTTCTATTTATACTTACAGATTTAATGTGTATACCTACAAAATTGGTTTTCTATGAGCTCTTCAGTAACTCTAACCTCTGAGCAGTGGTTATTGCAGAGTGGTTTTCTCAAGATTGTCACATGCCTTCCTCAGGGAGCTGGCTGGCTCAGGAGACTCAGGAAGCAAACAGACCTGTCATGTATGGAAAATCCCCTCCCCAGCTTTCTTGAAGGAGCAGTACAGGACTGCTGGGGAGGAAATTTCCACCTGCTCAGCCCTGGAGAGGAAATACTCAGAGCAGTCAGGCTGCTTGCAAGGTGTGTGAGTTCCAGGCATGTAGTCCAAGTGAACTGTCACCATTTTGGGGTGGGCTTTTCAGTGATGCAGGTGCCTTAAGTTATTCCTGTCCAGATGCTACCCCTCACCCCTCCTTCTGTTAGTAACTCCATGAAAATCTCATTTGTTTCCCAAGCTGGCTTCGTTGCAACCATTATTTGGGTCTATGGTTCTCTCCTTTGTTAGGGAGGGTAGACTTTCATGTATTGCGTCTCCTACAACATGGTGTGCAGTCCCAAACTTCAGACATAAAATGTATTGGCACCCTCTAATGAGAGGCAGTGTCTTATTTGCCTAGTGTAGTTGTCATCTACTCATTTGGTGGCATTGACACCTTTTTGTTTATTTTATCATGGACAAGATCTGAATTCCTGACAGCAGAATACGCTGGAAACTTAAATTAGTCCTAGGGATCCAGTAATCTACCAAAAGACATGTGGTCCCCCAATGTCACCTACCGAAGTGCATCACAGTCTTCTGGGGAAGATGGGAACATATTTCAGGCCCCCCAATATCTGGTGCTCGGCAGTGAGCCCAGTGTTCTGCAGTTGTCACAAACACACCATGTACAGATGAGGTGGCTTCATGAACTTGAGAGTCTAAAGTGAGAAGGGGGAAAGAAATCCTTTCTATTAGAAAATGAGAGGAGGGAGAAAGCAGCTCAGAATTCAGAAACATGTTATTATTAGTCCTGTTTGCAAGGCCTTGTGGGTGTGTCTGCCCATCTCAGAACAATGCCAGGGGGCAGGGGTGATACCTTTCTTAGTGAAGAGCTTCTTCTTACACAAGCTCAATTCCCTAGTGATGGAGTCCACAGGATTATACAGGAGATTACATCTGATAATTTTAGGCCAACCCACCAGGCACATACCTGTCTGTTAGAGGAGAAAGTCACATCGCAGTGCCTCTGAGAAATACAGCCCTTTGAACAGCTGGCTGCTTCTACCTGTAATTCTCTACTGTGATGCTATCCTGTCCCCCACCCCCATCACAGCCATGGAACATGTTCCACAACCTTAGCAGTGTGTTCCTCATTATCTTGCACAATTATTCCTGTGTACTGATAGAAGGATGACTTCTACCTACACTGTATAATTCTGGTGAATAAAATAAGTCTTATAGTCAAGCCTTTGTTCTACATTGATAGGACAATTTGGCTAGAAGATGTGTTCCTGCAGTTAGATGACAAGTGGGACTTTCACAGATAATACTCAAGGAGGGAATTACAGTATGTCTAGATTTCTTGAATTAAAGGCCTCCCAAGATTAAAGATGCAGAGGCCGGGCATCTCCCAACTGCTCTGACCATCCTTGGGGTTCACTTCCCACAGCAACTGTGGGAGAAAGCTATTTCTCTCCGGAGATGGTTAGTCCTTACCAGCCCTTTCTTGTTAATCACATAGCTGTCAGGGCGAAAACCTAAACAGTTACTTTCCTAATATTAAAATCTTGCATCAGTAAACTGAGGTGAAATTATATACAGAATGTTCACAGCCTTCAGGGTCAAAGCAGGAAAGTGCAGCCCATTGTCAGCTGTGGACTCCATATCCCAGAAGCCACATAAAATGCCAGGAATGACAGACCACACATGAAACCCAAGAGATCTAAGAGCAGAGACAGGCAGATCTCTCGGGCTGCAGACCAGCCAATCAAAACAAGTCAAGTCCAGGTTCAGTGAGACATCTGTCTCAAAACATGAAGTGGACAGTGACTGAAGAGGCTCCAATGCACAAACATACCCTTACACACTCTGGGAAAGCACTAAGAGAAGTTTGCCCTTTGAGCAAGCAGTACATTTAGAGTTAAAGAAGAAATTGTGAACCTCGATGTTCTTATATTTGAGACTGTAATGTATCATTTGCCTTTCTTCCTTCCCTACAATACTCACAGAAACTACTTCTTGCTCTTGAATTCATAACTCTTTTCTCATAGGTCATTGTGGCAAGCATATATCTGCACTATATACATATAGGTTCCTAGTAGCATGGATCCAGTTTGCATCATGTTACCTGTATGCATGCTTTCAGGGCCGAATATTTGGTATGGAGACGATTTTATAATACCACAACCAATCAAGTACAAAGTGTGGACTGCAGTTCCAATGGATACAAGCACAAAACAATTCCCTCACCTTATGTTGAAGATGCCAAAAGGAGGAACCCCCAGCCCTCTGAGAACAGCTACTCCCATCACCAGCAAGGGTCACTATGACCTAGAAGAAAGCAGAGTGGTGTGCCATATTAGTTGTGGCCATCATGCCATCCCCAGAGGTGACAGTCATTCAATGAAGAACAGGTGGGTCACAGATAGGGACAGCAATCAGACCTTGCTGCCCAGAGAGTCTATGTCCCCAGGAGACTCTCCCACATAGTCCACAGGGGGCAAATTCTGGGCTACCTTTACCATGTCCATCAGGCAGTCATTCAATAAAACGGCACGTTTGATCAACCCAATGTTTCTCATGAATGTTGGCAAAGGAAAGATTTTTCAGTAAAAATTCATCCTGGTATAGGAAAAGTTTTCCTTCCTGTGTGAGCACACCCTCTGTGTGCTGATGGCGGCTTCTTCCTGGGACGGGGACTGGGACGGGGACGGGGACGGGGACTGCTTCCTGACTTTGTTTCTCCCTCAGCTTTCAGCGCGTGGCTTCTGTCTGCACTAAGCTGGGCACAAGGCAAGGTCAGCATTTGGTTGTCCTTGAAGCAGCTTCTAGAAGTGAAGGGCACAGAGACATGACAGTGGCACTGAGACTCATGCTCACCCCACATCCCTAGCTGCAGCTAAGGCTTGCCATCCCAGCATCAGAGAAACCGTCGTAGAAAACCTTCACATATGTGGAGATGCACTAATCTGCCAGCGACCCCCCACCACTGGGTCTTGCTCAACCTGCCCCTCTGGTTTTGTCCTACATTTGTGCCTGTGAAGGTATGGCTGTGCAGAGGCACAAGAAGGCCCAATAGCTCACATGCCACAAGGAGGGTTCAGGAATGTTGGGGTGTGGTGGTCTTCAGCTAAAATTTGGAAGACTCCTGCATCTAGTCTCCTGAGGGAAATGAATCCCCAGGAGCAAAGCCCATGCTCTCCCTGCTGGAGCCAGTAGAAGCCACAGAGTCTCCCACCATGAGAAGGCCACAGTCACCGTTTTCCTAACTTATGTGCATGTGTGTGCCTGTTTGTTTATATGTGCACAGCACAGCTGCATTGTCTGTGGAGGCTTCAGATCCCTGCAACTGGAGTTACGGGCAGCTGTGCACCACTTGATGTGAGCACCGGGAACCAAACCCAGGTCCTCAGCTAGTGTTCCTAACTGATGAGCTTTCTCCCCAGCTCCTCCACATTTCTCTTTAGAAACTGATAGAGCCCACCCAAGGTTCCCCTTAGACACGCCCTCCAGACCTTCACATACCCCACAGAGACCCCTAGACACTCCCCCATGGACATTTAGGGACATCCACACAGAGAACCCCAAAGTTCCCTCTCAGACCCTCTCTTCCAGACCTTCAAGCGCCCTCCATAGAGACTTCTGGCCAACACAGAAACACATGTAATAACACCCTCAACACCAGCAATAGCACGTGAGCTCCAGAGCCCACAGAGCTCTCACACACACCCTTACATTCTCATGTCACCATGCCAGCCACACTACACAAAGACTGGAATATGCTAACATGTCGTCCAGGAAAGGTGGCCTACTAGGCCTCTTGATTCTGACTTCACCTGGCTCCAGCCATTTGCTGTCATCTGCGGTGATGACGCCAAAGCACCTGCTCCCTTAGCTCAGGACCTGGACTCCCCACCACCTGTTCATTGAAGCCTTAACGATCTTTACCATTCCTCAGCAATGGTCACATGACCCCAAGATGACTCTCAACTTGGGGATCCTTCTGAAGCTTTGGAATAAGCACCCCACACACTACCCTTCTATTCCTGGGGTAACCAGCTGAACATTTCACACACCATTTTCACTATCATGGAAGCTCAGAGGGAAGCATGCTCAGGTTTTGTATACCATGGTCCCTGGAGTGAGGCAAACTTTAGTGGTTTCCCTTGCTTCAGCTATAAAACAGGGCAGCGGGTGAGTGTTAATACTGCATGAAGGGAAATGAGTTGCAAGACTGAAACACTATGGTAGCCTTCTGGATCATTTTCCTATCATTCTTTTTTTGTGTGTGTGTGCATTGTCACTGATGTGATTTTCACTGCTAAACCATACACAATAAAGTTTTTCCAATAAAATCAAACAATGTCATTTTAGCACAAAAGTTAGCATTTGTATCTATTAGAAAGTCACAGTACACACAATAAAATAATCTGCATAATCTTTCAGGTCATTTTTTTCCACGTCACTTCCTGGCACATGGCACGCACAGGGCTTACCTAACTTCCTCTGATGGTAAAGGTCTCGTCCACAATCCCAAAGCATTTGCAGCTTTGACCTTGAAAACATGGGCCTTACGGGGTTTGGCCCTTCCAAGCCTCCTCGCTCCACCCAGCATCTGCCCCTCGGGTGGGGTCGGGCTCCCCTGACTTACCTGCTGCCATGTGCAGGACCTGACTGCAGTGACAACACCACGCCCGCTCCTACAGTGGCTGAAGGGCACCGAGGGAGGCACTGAAAGGAAATTGTCTTCCCTGTCGAGATGTGAATCCTGAGGCCTCAGGCTGGCTGGCAGCAGCTGCGGACTGCTCCACTCCATTTGCTGTGTGGTGTAGCTCGCTTTTCCTCCAGACAGGCTCCTGAACCTCGGGTCTTCCACCACCTTGGGACGAAAAGCAGAAGGAATCGGCCTGCACCTTTCCCGGGACCCACAGGGGGCGGTGTAGAGCCTGAGTTCCCAGGGCCCCTTCAGCTTTCCCTGCCCTTTCCTGGCATTGCTTCAGCACTCCCCTAGCACCTCCTCCCCTTTCTGGTCCCCTCAGCCCCCTCCACGCCTCCCTTGTGTTGAACTCTGCTGTCACCATCTCCCCCCACCCCATGCCACATGCTGCAGGGCTCTCAGGCTGGGCTACAGTTAGCAATGTGACCCTGAGCGGGTGGTCAGAAGCCCAGATGCTGAGGCTTCTATGTTGCCAGGCAATTCAGCTTCGTGTTCAAGTGCCGGCAGCCCCAGCACCTCTGAATTCCTGCAAGTGCCATGGAGGACACAGACAGAGGTTTTCTGCTGGTGTCTGGGTGGAGATCCTTACAGGACAGCTGACAGCAGTTACATTAACTATGTCCCGACCTGTTCTACCTCCAGCAGCACTACGGACCCAGCGGTTA